GGTTCTCTAACTCCACCTCCACTTTGAACTCAAACTTACTGACAACTTGTGCTTTCAGGAGTAGCTCTCCTGGATCCTGGATAGCAGAAATTGAAGAGTGTTGGGAGCTTTTACGGGTCCCCAGAGACCCTTAACTGACATTCACATTAAGGGGTTGGGACCCTGCCGTCACACTGGCTCCCAAGATGACTTTCCAGGTGGGGGTCTTCTCCTTCTCGGCCTCCACTGGCTCCATGGTCTCCTTGTCCCTTGAAGATGGGGACCCTCCACTGAGCTCCTGTGTTGCTGTGGTACTGCAGGGGTCTCCTGAGGCCACGCACTCCTTCTTCCCTGATGGCTCATGCCTGGACACTGCTGGACTTGGCCGCTCTGGGCTGCCTCTCCTGGCCCTCGGGACAGTAGTGTTCTGCCAAGTTCTGCTCTCAAGGTGGCATGTGAGGGTCTGAGAAGGCCACCTGCCTTCCTGACCAAACAGGGGGGACTCTGAGTGCCCACAGGTGTCACCAGTCCTGTGAGGTCCCCCTGGACTTCCTCCCCCGCAGGTGAGGGGGCAGAGAGGAAACCAGTTAGGGTGAGGACTGGCTTTTATGTTATCGCCTTCTCACATGGACTGAGAAAACAGTCTAAAAGTCCTTTATGGGAAGAGATGCAAAATAAGTCAGGCTGAGGATATGGAGAAATTGGAAGCCTTTTTGGCAGAAATATAAAACGGTATATAGCCACTATGGAAGAGTATTTTCATTCTTCAAAATTAAATGTAATTACCATAAAATCCAACAATTCCACTTTTGGGTTTAACTCTTTCTCAATAAGACAAGGTGGCAGGGACAACGGCTTTGGTTTTCGCGACTGCAGACTAGGACCAGACTGTTGGAGGCTCCTCCCCCAGGGATGCTGGAGGGGCTGCATGGTTCCCTGCATCTGGCCCTTGCAGACCCAGCTTTGCATGTGACCCCACCACTGACCAAATGGGAGAGGAGCGAGTGGCCTTCCCTGTTGGTGCGTTCTTCGGTGCTGGGTGACGTTGGGGTCAGGAACAGAGCATGTGTGTCTCCTTGGTCAGGGTAGTAAGCTGCCCTTTCTCTTGCTCACTGATTTCTTAGTCCTAATCCCCACCTAGATTTGTCTCCATCTTTTTTTTTGTTTGTTTTTTAGTAGTTTATCTTTTGGGTTTCTCATCTGATGCTTCCCACCAACCTCATTGCTCAGAGTGCAGTATTAGGGCGAGACTCTCCCACTGCCTCTTTCCATGAATGTATTTATCCTTCCTGCCCTGGAACTGGGGAGGGGCTGTCTCTTTGCTTGTTTTCTTTTTGTACAGCTTGGTAAAATATTCCATAACACGCTGATCATATCACGCTGAGTTTTCTCCACCCAGATGAGTATCTCCATTAGTGGCCATGACTTCAAAGACACCATTGTCAATGGTGACAAGAGACACATCGAAGGCTCCATCACCCAGGTCAAATACCAGGATATTTTTCTCCCCCTCCCTTTTATCCAGGCCGTATGCAATAGCAGCTGCTGTAGGCTCATTGATGATCCTCATAGCATTGAGTCCAGCAATGGTTCCAGCATCTTTCAACTTCAAAAATGGACTCCTAAACTTGGAGTGGACTTGGACCAGCCAGTCCACCAGGATGGCATGCATACATTCATTTATATCTCTTCCATCTAAGGAATGTGGGTTTATAGATTGCAAAACCTCAAGCTGCCTGAGATACTGGTAAATATCCTTAACGTAGTCACTGCAGAGCTGAGGATTCTCCCAATCTTCATTATCAATATCCTCAATTTTGCAGAGCAAGGCATCAGATAAAGCTTGGCAGAGGTTCTCTTCCTTCATGCAGACATCCTCAGGTATGGAAGAAGGACCCTTTGGAGCTAACATTTCCATCTGCATTGGTTTCACAGAAGCAGTAGGTTTCAGTTGTTTGTTGACATTTGTTATTTTGGTGGGTTGAACTGGTACTTTGGTGTTGTTCTGAGCTTTCTTAGCTACTTGTGCTGCTCTGGTTTTTTTGGTTTTTCTTCAAAAACTGCACACCTGATAGTCACATGACTCTTGACTTTAGAATTAACTCTTGCGTCAATATTTTCCAAATCACTGGACACCCTCAGGCGTCAAAGCAGCACCGTGAGGGACAGGGAAGGCAAGAGAGCCAGCCCAGCCCAGGGAAGGATGCGAACTGGAGAGGGAGGGCACTAGCATCTGCAGCGCCCTTAGAGCTGCTCTGTGAGTTTCTGACCACGCTTGGCGATTCTCTCCTTAATCTCTGTTGAGTCCATGGGAAGCACTGAGGGGCCAGAGCAGCCCCCAACACCTTGCCCAAGCCAAACTGGCAGCCCCCCAGTGGGTCTCGTCAAGGGAGATGACAAAGATGAGGGCCCTATTGCTGAACAAGTGAAGAAATCAACGTTGAACCCCAATGCCAAGGAGTTCAATCCCACAAAGCCTCTGCTCTCTGTAAACAAGTCCACCAGTACCCCAACTTCTCCAGGGCCCCAGACTCATTCAACTCCCTCCATCCCAGTGCTGACAGCAGGCCAGAGTGGGCTGTATAGCCCCCAGTACATCTCCTACATACCTCAGATCCACATGGGACCAGCTGTGCAGGCACCTCAGATGTAACCATATCCTGTATCCAATTCAGTGCCTGGGCAGCAGGGCAAGTACTGAGGAGCAAAAGGCTCCCTGCCCCCACAGTGCTCAGACCAACACCAGCCAGCCTCAGCCCCTTCAATGATGCAGGCCACCACAGCTGCTGGCCCACCTCTGGTGACTGCCACACCTTACTCTTCCTACATCCCCTACAACCCACAACAGTTCCTAGGCCATCCAGCCATGATGCAAACCATGGCCCACTACCCCTTACAGCCGGTGTTTGCCCCCATGCTTCAAAGCAACCCACGCATGCTGATGTTGGGTAGCCATCCCTAGGCCATTGTGTCTTCCTCCACCCCTCAGTACCCTTCTACAGAGCAGCCCACCCCCCAAGCCCTTTATGCCACTGTTCACTAGTCCTACCCACACCATGCCACATAGCTCCACACCCACCAGCCGCAGCCAGCTACAATGCCTACTGAGAGCCAGCCACAGTCCCAGCATGCGGCCCCCAGTCCTGTCCAGCATCAGGCAGCGCAGGCCCCACACCTGGACAGTGTTAGCATCATGGAAGGATCCTATGAAGGCATATTAGCTTGGGTTACTATGAATTTGACAGGTCAGCTACATGGCCACAGCCAGGAGACCGTGGGGACCCTGGACCTGGGCGGGGGGAGGGCTCCACCCAAATCACATTCCTGCCCCAGTTTGAGAAAACCCTGGAACAAACACCTAGGGAATACCTCACTTCCTTTGAGATGTTTAATAGCACTTATAAGCTCTACACACACAGTTACTTGGGATATGGATTGAAAGCTGCAAGAGTAGCAACTCTGGGAGCCCTGAAGAAAAAAGGGATTGATGGACACACTTTCCAAAGTGCTTGTCTACCGAGACTGTTGGAAGCAGAGTGGATCTTTGGAGGTGTGAAATACCAGTATGGTGGCAACCAAGAAGGGGAGATGGGCTTTGAGCCGTGCTATGCTAAAGTCCTGAGGGTGGTACAAGGAAAACTTCACCAGCCAGAGGAGGTCCAGAGAAGCTCCTTCTATGCTTTCTCTTACTATTACGATTGAGCTATTGACAGCAGCTGCCATCTTTTATTCTGGGCACGTTTTTCCTGAGATTCCAGGAAGATTGTGACATTGTCACTTTTTTACTCTGGTATCTTATAAATTTTCTTCATTTGCCTGAAAAGCTCCCCTGCAGTAACAGACTTCTCATACCTTTAAAAATTATTCTCAAGAATAGCTTACTTGGTCCAAAAGCAGACTGTTTCTTCTCATTTCATCTTCAAATCAAACATTTAGGCAAGATGTTCTTTATAGTGAGCAAATCTAACAGACCTGAAAATCTCTTCAAGAGGCATCTCTGGTACCATGAAGTGAGCTCTTTAAAAGCCCACAGCAAAATACCACTCCCTCCAGTTGGCTACCAGTCTGCCACCAAACATGAACAAATTCTGCTGTTAATCATAGTTTCCCTTTTGACCTGGTTCCTGAGGTCTTCAAACCTGTGCGATGAAATTATTTATTATTTTATTAAACAGACAATGGTGTCCCAGAGAGGAACCATAAATAAAAGTGAAATCTGGCGCTGCGATGAAGAATAACTCACATTAATAAAATTTGGTTTTCTTTTCAGAAAGTCCAGTGCAGCTATAACAAAGGTTAAAGCAGTTTATATTTAATTTGCATTCTGATGTTAATTTTAAAACAGCAATTCTAACAAAAATGCACTGAGTGTTTCTAATTCTTCTATCAAAAACAATTGTATAAATTTATGACCAGCATTAAAAAAAAACTGTATAAATCTTCTCTTTAGAAAGAATTGTTAACAAGTGAAAATGACTGAGGCAGCACCTCAATGATTTTTGTTTTAGTAATAAATTGTTCTTTTCAACCAAAAAAACAAAAAACTTCTCTTTTTTTTCATGGTTTTACAAGTTTAATAATCCATAGAGCAAGTCAAGTATTAAAAAGACAAACCAAACCACTACTTACTGTGGTACCCCTGCTGGTCTGGGTCTCGCTGCAAGGCAGAGGAGGAGTGGGCAGGAGGGAGCAGTGATATGTTTCATCTAGTGACACTGAGCAAAGCCCCTGACAGCAGCGACATGGCTGCCACCACAAGTCCCAAGGGTATACAAATAGCAGGCAGGATGTCTTTGGCTGAACAGTGTTCATGTGACTAGGAACAAAAGTATCTGAGGACAGGAGATTAGTAGAAGACACTCAAGCACAGCTATCACTCAGATTCCAAATTTGAAGGAAATTTGGTCTGATGTGCTATCACACACAGGGAAATGGAGAGGTTCAATTGCATATGGCGTCTATAATTTAAATATTGTAAGAATAACTCATATGGCTGTGGTTCTGATGCCTCATGGACTGAAATGGCCTCAAACCATGCAGCTTCTTTTGGCTGCTCCCATCTTCCTGGGACACCAACCGCATGGGTGGTCAAGCTCAATGCTGGCCAGCAGCGGCATGGTGGACTACAAGTGGATGCTCAGAGAGCTGAAATTGGTGAAGCGGAGGCCCTGCCAGTTATAGGTGGCCAGGTCCAGCAGGAAGTCACGGTAACTGGAAACTGGAACCTGCAAGAAGCAAAGGTGAGATGACTTGGTCATGCCCAGGACTGGTCACAGGCACTGCTGACCACACAGTGCACACTGAAGCCGACGGTTGCCCTGTGGGCTCATGGGCAGGCAGTCAAAATTGTTAATATCTTACATGATAACTTTGGAGGCTCTGCTGAGGGTGACCTCACTCTGTATCACTGAACCTCAGTCACTGACTTCCTTCCTTCCTTGGAGATGAAGTCAACCCTGTTGACTTCATCTCCAAGGCCAGCAAAATCTTGCTAGATGATGAAGCGTTGGCCCAGCATCCAGCCACCACTGAGGACATACGGGCATGTTGTCAGGACATCAAAGTGCTGGGGCAAAAGGAGCTCAAGTCCCTACTGAACTGGAGAACAAAGCTTCGGCGACATTTGGCCAAGAAGCTGAAAGAGCAAGCGAAAGCACTGGACATCAGCCTCAGCTCAGGAGAGGAAGAAGGTGATGAGGAAGAGTCAACAGCTGGACCACAAGGCAACCCTCTAAGGAGGAGGAGGAGGAGGAACAACTGAATAAGACCCTGGCAGAGATGAAGGCCCAGGAGGTGGCGGAATTAAAGAGGAAGAAAAAGAAGCTGGTGTGTGAGCAGAGAAAGCAGCAGGAGCATGTGAAGCTGAAGATGGATCTGCCAGGGGTTTCCATCGCAGATGAGGGGGAGACTGACATGTTCTTCCTGCGCACCATCCAGGGTCACCAGTTGTTAGAGGAAGCAACAAAAGGGGATATGAGTACTGCAGACACACTTCTGTCCGATCTGCAAGAGATGACATCTATGTATCAGATTTTGAGGAGGAGGATGATGATGCATCTCTAGAGAGTGACCTGGATCCAGAAGAGCTGGCAGGAGTTGGGGGACATCAGGATCTAAAGGACCAGAAATAAGTGCGATACACTGAAGTAGAAGATAAAGAGGAAGAGGAAGAAGAGAATCCATTGCTGGTACCACTGGAGGAAAAGGCAGTGCTGCAGGAGGAACAGGCCACCCTGTGGTTCTCAAAGGATGGCTTCAGTGGGATTGAGGATGATGCTGATGAGGCCCTGGAGATCAGTCAGGCCCAGATGTTATATGAGAGTGGTCGGAAGGGACAGCAGCAGCAGCTGCCACTGCCACTGCCACCACCACCACCTTCCAGTTTGAAGACTGAGAAAAATCTCCCCAGTGCCAGGATGAAGCCCCTAAGGGGCAGAGGCTTCTTCAGGGAGAGAAGCTGCCCCTGGCCCTGAAGAGGAAGAAAGAGATGGCGGCTCAAACCGTGATAGCAGCAGCAGTGAGGAGGAAGAGAACGGGGAAGCACCCCGTGGTAAGAAGCTCAGACGTGGGCCTACGTCAGATGACGATGGGTTTGAGATAGTGCCTATTGAGGACCCAGTGAAACATCGAATACTGGATGCTGATGGCCTTGCTCTAGGTGCCGTTATTGCCTCTTCCAAAAAGGCCAAGAGAGACCTCACAGATAACTCCTTCAACAGGTATACGTTTCATGAGGAAGAGGGAGAGCTTACAGAGTGGTTTGTGCAGGAGGAAAAGCAGCACCGGATATGGCAGTTGCCTATTGACAAGAAAGAGGTAGAGCATTACTGGAAGTGCTGGAGGAAATCAACACTCGTCCCATCAAGAAAGTGGCTGAGGCCAAGGCCAGAAAGAAAAGAAGGATGCCGGAAAAGCTGGAACAGACTAGGAAGAAGGCAGAAGCTGTGGAGAACACAGGGGACATCTCAGAACGTGAGAAAGTGGCATAGCTGCGAAGTCTCTACAAGAAGGCTGGGCTTGGCAAGGAGAAGCACCAAGTCACCTATGTTGTAGCCAAAAAAGGTGTGGGCCGCAAAGTGCGCCGGCCAGCTGGAGTCAGAGGCCATTTTAAGGTGGTGGACTCAAGGATGAAGAAGGACCAAAGAGCACAGCAGCGCAAGGAGCAAAAGAAAAAACACAAGTGGAAGTGAGCAGAGCTACTGGGCCTCTGAGAAGAGTGTAAGGACTAGGGGGAAGATGGTGGCAGGACCCACTCTGGCCTCAGTACCAGCCCTACTCTCACTCACATTGCAGCTGTCCGACAGTGAGGTGGGGTACAGAACTCCCACTGTGATCCTGAGCAGAGAGAAGGATGTCCTCCTGCCTGAAGAATAGTCTCCCACAAAGACACTGCTGAACTATCTTTACAGACCCCACGATCCTTCCATGAAGAATGTGGGGATGCTGAATAAAAAGTCAATGTTAAACCTGGGAGGTTAACTGTTGGGATGGCATTCATTGTAGTCCATTCCTGGGCATGTGGGCCTCTTAAGCCTTCCCCTTTCCTATTCTTGAATAAAACCAGGGTGGTGGGGGAAAAAAAAAAAAGACCTTTCTATCTAAGGACTTTTCATCATGAAGAGCATCTGGAAGTTTCAGGGAACTAGTTCTGACATTTTTTTTTTTTAAACTAAAAAACTGCCTGTTGTACCAGTTGTTCTACTTCAAATCCAATAAAAACCCAAACTGGAATAAGTGTGCTGGGGGTGATGCAGGCAACTTGAAGTGAACTCTGCTGGAAAAGGAGGAAAACAAATGATTCTGTGTTAACAATTCTTGAAGAATTGGCATTAGATGGATCATAAAATTTTGAAGGGAGAATGTTGAATTCAATGAGATGTATGTAGACCAGCCAAGCAAAACATTGATCACTTGGTTTAAGGTATTCAGCTATTATTCCATCATTAGCTGATTTCAGTGCATTCTATAAAATTGCTAGTGCGCTTTGACATCTTCCAGTAAATATGTGCAGCTGAACTCTAAACAAGAGAGCCTCTAAAAGCTGAAAGGACAGAATATCTGATGTTTCCCGCTTGGCTGCTTCCGTCGGAAATTCCATCATTCTCTCGCATACATAATCCTCTTCTTCAAAGGTGCTTTCTAGGTGTAGAAAAGTCCAAAAGCTTTGATAATAGGGAGCATATTCAACAGCTGTTTCACACATTTCCTGCACATGATCCTTCGTTACTCTTGTTGAGGACACCTAAGACACCAAACAAAAAAAAAAAAAAAAAAAATTCTGAAAGAAAGAAAACAAAGAACAAAATACCCCAGAATTCCTAATAGAACTTTTCACCCGAACCTAAAATGGTGAGCGAGAGTCATCATCAGGCCCTGGCAGCCCCGCCAGTCACCACCGTTGTGACCGTTCTGCCACATAATGCCACAGAGCCAGCCAGTCCTGGAGAAGGAAAGGAAGATGCCTCTCTAAGCTGAAGGAGAAGTTTATGAATGAGTTGCATAAAATTCCATTGCCACCATGGGCCTTAATTGCCATAGCCATAGTCACGGTCCTTTTAGTCCTGACCTGCTGCTTTTGTATTTGTAAGAAATGTTTGCTCAAAAAGAAGAAGAAGAAGAGGAGAAAGGAAAAGGAAGGGAAGAATACCATTAACATGAAAGATGCGAAAGACTTAGGGAAGACCACGAAAGATCAGACCCTTAAGTATGATGCTGCTGAAACTGCATTGACTGATGGGGAAGAAAAAGAAGAACCCAAAGAAGAGGAGAAACTGGGAAAACTCCAGTACTCACTGGATTATGATTTCCAGAATAACCAGCTGCTCGTAGGAATCATCCAGGCTGCTGAACTGCCTGCCTTAGACATGGGGGGCACATCTGATCCTTATGTGAAAGTTTCTGCTGCCTGATAAAAAGAAGAAATTTAGACAAAAGTCCACCAAAAACCCCTTAATCCTGTCTTCAATGAGCTATTTACTTTCAAGGTGCCGTACTCGGAATTAGGTGGCAAAACTCTGACGATGGCCGTGTATGATTTTGATAGTTTCTCCAAGCATGTCATCATTGGAGAATTTAAAGTCCCCATGAACACAATGGATTTTGGCCATGTAACTGAGGAATGGCATGATCTGCAAAGTGCTGAGAAGGAAGAGCTTAGAAAATTGTTAGCATTTCTGATATCACAAGCTGTATTCACTAGTTACTCATGGAATAGCCCATTGAGAGGCGCTCTTTACAAAGGGTGAGGTGGGCCTCTATCTGTTACCAGTTGGCAAAATAGAGTCAGGGGGACTGCATAACCTTGTTAAAAAGTATTAAATATATAAGGTATTATGGGTGTTATTTGAAAGAAAAGAGAGAGATTTGTATACTGGGTCTATGAACTCCCCGAGACACACACACACACACACACACACACGTAGAACTATTTCTAAAAGCTTACAAAATGCCATGCAAGCATACAACCTGCTTCTTTACAAGGACTGTGAAAAATCATCTTATTCCTCATATTTTTCCACAATCATTTTGTATTTTCTACATAGGTTATAGAGCAGTAAAATGGCACTTTTTCCTTGATTAATCCACCATTTCCATTGCAGCTTTCCCATACCCCTCACACCACTGCAGGAGACAGTGCCAAACAGGACCTGTGCTTACAATGACCCTTCCTCCTCTATCTACTCCCTCACCCAGCCCAGGAGCTTTATGACCACAGCAGCCTCCCTCCCCTATTACCATTGCAGTTGTGGGTAAATTAACCCTCCAAGCTGGCTGCTCTCCCTGCCCAGCTGCCCTCCCCACCTGCATCCCAGAGCAGAGTCTACTTCTGTTCCCACCCCCCTCCCTTACACCAATCCTTGTAAGTCTCAACTCACTATCCCCCCACCCCACTTCCCACCCTCCACCAGGGCCAGGATGGCAGTGGCCCTGGCCCCCTCACCTCTGGGACAAGGGCATCCACACTCTTCCCCACCTTCGTGCTCCTCATCCTCCCCACTCCCAACCAGGACCTGGGGTGGGTTGTAGAGAAGCTGCCGGTTTGGTTCCACTGCCCTGGATGAACCCAGCCACTGATGAGTGTTGCTTGAGAGAATCACCTGGCAGATTGATGTCACTACAAATTCATGAGCCCCACTTAACATGGAAATAAAATGCTACCTGGAATTTCTATCAAACTTCCTTTCCCATTGTCTGCAAAGAAGTTTACATCTTACCTTTCCCCTTCAAACTTACCTCTTCTTCTCACATGCACTTAAGTACACGCATTTTTCAGGCTGATGACTTGCTTTATGCTTTCTTGAGAAAATGGAAACCACCAGAGGGAAGATTCCTCACATCTTCTTATCACAAATGTATAAACCGACTGGTGTCTGAGTCCTGTTTTCTCCTTCTTCCCTCTTCTTCCCTGAAGGAAATCAAAAACTAACCCTGTACTTTGAAGCCCACACTGTCCAACCTTCTCCAGATTCAGTAGTTGGCTTCATTCTTCCTCTCACCATGTTGGATTATTGCCATTAATACACAAATGTGCTCTAGGACTTCCCATCTTGACATTATACATGTAGGAATAAATATGAACCATTTCAGTCTGGTTTTTCCCCCCAAATGCCACTGAAATGGATTTTCCTGTGGTCTCCCAATGTCTCAGCCTAACAGAGTTCTTGGCCTTCCTCTATGTAACATATGACCCAGCTAACAGTTCTCCTGCCTTCTTTGCCAGAGAAGAATTTTCTTGAAATGATCTCTATGGGTTGGGGTTCTTCTCTTCTCTCAACCCACTTTTCCTATATAGCCTTATTCATCTCTCTCCGGGTGATAGCCAACCATTCATATACTGATGAATCCTTTATTTTATATCTCACACACACCTTTATGCTGAAATGCAGACTCTCACATACACAGTTGCCTAAATGGCATCTCCACTTGGTTGTCTAATAGGTAACTCAAAACTGACATATCCAAAGTGGAACTCTAAATTTTCCCATAACTCCCATTCCCATTCCATAACTCCCTCTCCCATTCTTCTCACATTTCAGAGAAACGTATCACCTAGTTGCTCACAGTCCAGAGAAACTCCTTTGACAATTCCCTGCTGATATATCTAATCCGTCACCAGATTTTGACTTCAATCTTTGAGCTTCCTTTCCATTGCCCCCACTCTAGACCCAGCCCCACCATTATCACTTGCCCATATCCTGCAAAAACCCTCAAATCTCCTTGCTTGCCTTTCTCCTACCCATTTTCTCCACAATAGTTAGAGTGATCTTTTAAAAATACTGATCAGATCATGTCACTCCCCTATTTATCTATCACTCTTTGGTAGTTTCCCACCACATTTGGAATAAAATTTAAATTCTTCATTTAGTATCCTACAAGATCTACTCATCTTCTGTCTCTGTAGCCTAGTCCTGGACTGCATGCTCTATTTTATAGCCACACCCATTGCCTTTCATTTTCCTGGGAACAAGGTCTCTCACTGGGGCCTTTGCATTTGCTGTTCGCTTTGCTTTGATGCCTCCCACACCTTTGCAACCTGGCTCATTTTCATCCGTCAGGCCCCAAATTATTGGTTACATCCTCAGAGGGACCTTCCTGCCCATTCAACGTAAGTCACTTCTTCTGTTTTTTCCTCTCTTCTTCTCCCTCATAGTGCAAATTAACATTTGAAATGAGGTGTTCATTTTTGTTTTCATGTTTATCAGTCTCTTCTAGTAGATCTAAGAATTCATGAACTCCCTGAGGTTAGCAATCTTAGCTGTTTTGTTAATGTCTAAATCCCCAGTCTGGCTCATTGGAAGTATTTGTGGGGCAACTGAATAATGTTTATTAGAGTATTGCTTTTAACAGCATAAAATCTGGTCCATCAATTTAATTGATTAAGTTATAGGACAATCCATGGTAAAGAAAAGTAAATTTACACATACTGATGTGGAAAGATATTAAAGAAATATTAAGTAGAAAAATCAAATTGCTAAACATCGTGTAGAATAATGTCATTTTTTCTAAAGTGTATTTTCATATTTATATCTGTATGTATCTCTCTTTCTCCCTCCCTCTGTGAGTTTCTGGGATTTCTACTGGGACTTCTTCCAGGGAATTGCAACATAAAATGAGACGAATTTCTTTTATTTTACCCCTCTCTGAGCTATTGGATTTTTAAATTTTTATAATTTGCATATATTCCTTTTGTAACATCCTACTTTGAAAACATAGAGACATTTTAAAGTAGATTACAAAATAGTATATATACCACATTTATTCATTCTATAAATTTTATTCATCATCTACTATATACCAGGTATTGCTAGCAGCTTCATATATAGTGAGACCCATTGTTTTTATCCATAATTGGGTATCTAAAAAATGAGGTAAATATTATGAGGGTTTTTCTCTGGTGGTGGTAAGATTATAGTTGGATTGCATTATTCCTTCCCATTGCCAAATTTCTTATGGCAAACATGATCAAGTTTAAAATTACATGTTATTATTTAAGGCACTTAAATACATATATGGAAAAATACCCAATCATTTTAGAACAATTTACTTGGCCAGGTAATACTTTTCAACTTAATGGAAAAATCATTAATTGTATAAATACCTTTGGTGTAGATGCAATTATAAAAATATGTATAGTACTTACAGTTTTGAAAGTTTATAAACATGCAACTGTTCCCAGTAGGAAACAGGACACTCAATCTTGCTTTTCTTTGCCTGGAGACTGATTTCTTCAACATGGCCTAGTAGTAACATGTTCATCCCGGAAAATGGGGGAGAGTCAGAGCTCTTGTTAATGAGTTAACATTTGTAACACACACCTGAAAGTATTTATGGAAACCGTGTATTGGATCCAGAAGGGCAAAGCTCTCTGGGTGGTGGAAGCTGAGTTGTAAGCAGAGTGTGTTGCGTGGCAGCCTGCAAGGTAGAGAAAGTTGTAGGATCATGGGGGGAAAAAAGATTAAAATATATCATAGGAAAGGGAATGGGAGTGAGAGGAAAAGCCATCCTGGGAATCTCATATACCGAAGTTGTGATTCTTCTTTTATTGAAAATGTGATACTTGGAGGAACAAAGAAAGATAGTGTCAGATTTGGGGACTGTTGCCTCAAAGAATGATGAAATGATGACTTTCTGCTATTATGTTTATGACCAACTTTCCCAAAACAGGGAAGCTTAATGTACCTCTGTTTTTCTCTTTAATTTCTTAATTCCTTGATGTTCTCGTTTCTAGTGACCTTTTTGTGCCCTCGACCTTAACTAACCTCTCTCAAGGTCACACCTTGGATCCTGTTGCAGCCAGAGATCCCACCACTTTCAGCATCACAGTGCATATATGTCCTGCTCTCCAACCAAACAATCTATTCTAACTCACCTGCCTATTTTCTCTTACAAGCAACATTTCTCCCTCATCAAGAGTACCAGTCTATTAATCCACATTGATCTCTCTTTTCTTTAGCCCTGTCCTATTAGTATTCATTAATTATGCAGAGAAACTCAATGATTTACATTCACTTTCTTACTACCTCCATCAGATCTTGTGTCTTTTTCTCCCTCTGAAACTTGTCTCATAATTCTAGAACACTCTGAGTCAGCTTTATTGTCACCTTAACTAACTATAAGTAACCTATTGTTGTAGGCAGCCTGCCCCATGGATTATTTTGATGTTCTTTACAAAATTTTAACTTTTTAAAACATATATGTGTGTTTACTAATTTGTTTTATGCTTCTGCCACCAAACAGTAAGATTTATAAGGTCAAAAATACAGTTCATATTCCCAGGAGGTTAGCTCAGTGTCTACAGCAGAGTTAATACTCAGATAATTGTTGAATTAATGAGTAAAGTTTGCTCTAAGAAAGAACCAAGAGGTAGAGGGAGTAGTGACCACCGTATTGATGTGATTCATAAACTCTTCTGCTTACGTGGGACAAAATGGCATCCTGATTGTGCTGAGAAATTGCTGAGTCACTGTCACAGTTATTAAAAAAACTTTCCCCCTAAGTTTTCAAGGTACTCTGCTGATGCAGTAGAGCAAGCATGACTTAGTCTCTTTTCTTTAACTGAGCATCATCTAAGTTGTCTGCCTGCCTGGTAGCTTTCTGCCAGCATGCTTGACTGATTGAGTCATACCCTGCTTTATTCCTAGAAGGATTTCAGGTGTCAACTTCCACTTGACCTGAGGTTAATTATATCTCCTGTAACCTATGAATCTCTTGCATAGTCTTGCTTTCTATTGCTGGGGATTACTAC